AGCGGGGCCGGGCGCTGAGGACCTCGTGTCCTGCCAGGTCCGCCACTGGGACACGAGCCCGCGTGCTCCCCCTGCACAGGGACAAACGCAGCCGGTGGCCTGCGGCTCCCCCCTCTCCCAGCCCCGCCCCTGGGTAAGAGCCCTGCCTGGGTCAGGTGAATCTCACCTGGCTCAGGGCCTGTCTTGGGGCGCACAGGCCTGAGGGGCCGGGATGATTCTCGGCTGTGCAGGGGAGTGAAATGTGCCTTCAGATGGGAGGAAGTTTACGCCCTTTTCAATTTTCAACTCTGGATTCACTCAAGCGGGAGAGCCTGCTCAACCCCTGCTGAAATCTTAAAAATCGAAGAAAAATCAGGCCTGGGCTCAGAGCTCCCGGCAGACAAAGGTATCCAGAGAGAACATCGTCGTTTAATTTGTTTTCACAGGGTGTGTTTCTGCAGTTTCCTTCTATTTGTGGTAAGTGATACTGGTTTTCCTGTAATGATAGTTGATATAAACATCCCGTGGAAGAGAAATTATTTAGAAGTCAGTTAACCGACTGTGGAAAGCATGAATTAAATAATAGTACAAGTGACCTGAAGATATGGAAGTCAGAAAGGCAGGTAGAGGACAGAAGTTTGGAGAATATTGCTCTGAGGCCAGGCAGTGATCACCCTGTGGGTCAGCAACTCGTTATTTTATGACTGTGTCCTGTTTGGGGTCTGTCCCGATGCCTTGAACCCGGGCCTAGAGGATTTTGGAAACCCTGAATGTGTGTTAATTTATTAAGTATGTGCAAGGCGCTTTCTTTGTGGCCAGGCACTGTTCTAAGTGCTTTACTAATGCTATCCCATTTCATTCCCACACACTGTGACAGCAGTCCAATGTCCCTGCTTTACAGATGAGGAAACTGAGGCACAGTGAGGTTAACAGCCCCAAGATCAGCCAGCCAGTAAGTGGCAGAGCCGGGGTCTGAGCCCAGGCTGGCTGGCTCCCACCATGTCCCAGCTCCGTGGTCCTCTCCCTCAGCAGCACAGTGTCCACCCTGCAGTTTTGTCTCCTTGTAGCCTTTGCAAAGTGAATTTCTGGGCAGAAGTGCAGGCCTCTCGCCAGGCCTCTGCCCCGCCTGGTGCCAGCTGCCTCGGAGCTGCTCAGAGCTGCGTGGTGGTCTGCTGCAGAGGTAGGTTGGGGCCCTGCTGTGTGGGGACTGAGGGAGACTCAAAGTCCTTGGACTGGAAATTCTCTTCTGGGACTAGGGTGGCTACTTCCTTACCTGGTGTCCCCAGGTTGGGGGAAGCTGATGGCACTGAGTATGGCCATCATTATGCCTCCAGGACAGAGTTAAGGGAGTACTGGTCACTGAAGTGTGAAATGGGCACTGCCAGGCTCCCCTCCTGGACAGGGGCATTTGGAGAATGTTCCCCCCGTCCTTTCCTCCTTTGGGGGAGTGGGCAGATCTACACTCACCAGGGAGCTTCTTGTCCCTGGTTCTGAAGATGGTGGGAGAGTATGTCACCTCCCTCCTTCCCATCACCAACCACATCCTTCCTCTGCCAGCCTGGGGGCTCTTCCCCTTCTGCCAGGGGGACTGAGGGTCTCCCCCTGCCTCACACTACCCAGGATGTGGAAGACAGTGAGCAAGGTCCTAGGGGGAGAAAGGCTGATGATGGGCAAATGTAGGGACAAAGTCCTGGTGACAAAGTAGGGGAAGAGGGGCGCCCTGGTGGCTGCAGAGAAAGCCCAGAGGTGCCGGAGTCCCCTGGGCTGGAAAGTCCTGTCCTGTCTCCTGAGAGGTGCTAGGGTCTAGCAGTCCCCCAGGTGCCTGGTTCTGGTTTGCCCAGTGTTGTGGGCAGCAGGCGGCCCCTACCCCACAGGGAGCCCTGCCTGGCACTTGGGTTCACGGGTCACCTGTCCCGGTACTGGCCCAGGGCCTTAAAGCCTGGGTCCCCTGGCCACATGCCCAACCCCTCAAGAGGATCATTTGTCTTTTGTATTCATTTTTCCAGAAGCAGGAGGAAGTCAGGACATGGAACCCTTCGAGAGAAGAGAAATCATCATGCGAACCTGTTTTTGTCCTCCTCCTGGGGGCCTCATGATACCGGCATTCAAACCGCCCCACTTCCAGGACCCCCACCCAGAGGTGGCTCTTCTGCCCCCTCCTGCCCAGTGTCCCTGTGGACAGCCCTGAGGACGAAGCATGGCTTGAGTCCTCTTGTCCTAGCCTGTGCCACGACCACCTCCCCTGCTGCCCTTCCGGAGGGACACGACAGCCTCCCACACCCATGCCTTTGGTCTGCCAGGGCCCTCCCTGCCCACAAATCGGCCCTGGCCCGCAGCCGTGGGGGCTGAGGACGTGCGATGTGCTGAAAAGAAATCAGGTTGTGGATGAGCAGAAACATCTAATACAACGTGAAATATCTAGTGTGCCAGGGCAGCTTCCTTTAGGCCCTGGCAACACTGCTGTCCTTGTCAGCATCACCCAGACAGGGGGTGACAGGCCGAGGGCCCTGGGCGGCAGCCTGATGAGCCTCACACGAGCCGAGTGGACAGCGGAGCCCTGGTCCCGGGGAGGCGGTGTTGGCGCTGGCCCACATGAGCCCGGGTCTGACAGCTTCTTACAGCAAGCTCAGCCCTGGGGCTGGCTGGCAGCTCCCCCTCATTTTCAGGTCCCCAGACCCCGCAGGGGGGGCACGGCACCTCTTTTATACCCTCATATCCCTGATCTTTACCATTTATCACTGTCTTTCTGTATTTATCAAATACTTATATAGTGATAATATAATATTATATCATGCTTCTATAATAGGAACTACTGCGATACATTTTACATTGAAGAAAACTGAGGTACAGAGAGGTGAAGTCACTTGCCCAA